ATTAGGAAATCCTTGGGGGGGGGGGCTGTGCCGGGGATAAGCAAGTTTCTAATGGGGCTATAGCCCCGTCAAGCCCTCCCTAGCGCCGCCACTGTTCTTGGAGCATAGAAATTTTGAATAATGTGCCAGTCGCTCTTTCCTTTCCTTTCCTTAGTGAATGGGAAATGGAACTTTCAAGCTTCAAAAAGAAAGCAAAACTACTTGAAAGTATCATAAAAGTTGGTTTTTTTTGTGTGTGTTTGTTTGTTTGTTTTTAATGACACAACACCTTTGTGTAAAGAAAACAAAAGTCGGATCAGAGTGTGACTTGCAAATGATTTGTTCATGAATCAGACATCACTTCTCGTCTCATGAACGCACCAAGTGCGTAGCATGACATGCTTTTATGTCTGTCTCAGCCTCAGGCCATCTACTGTAAGGATGTGTTGGACATTGAACAGTTCTCCACAGTGAAAGGGGTGGAGCTAGAGCCCAAAGATGACTCCTTCTACAGCAAAGTATCCACTGGAAGCGTTCCCATCCCCTGGCAAAATGAGGTGAGGTCACTACCCAGAATAAACTCTACTCTGAACCCTGATTGATGATTTATGACCAGCATGCAATAAAAATCAAATTAACATTGACTTTGATAATGTGTACAAACAGACTTCAGTTAATGCAAATATGTGATATTTTCTCTTGACATGCATGCAGTGTTGCCATTATGAAATTGACTGGCTTGTATAGTTAGTCTGGTTTTAGGTTAACCCGACCCTGCTCTGATGTGTTTGTTACCTTTACATAAGATGCATTCTTGCAAAATAAAAGGAACAGGAGCACCTAGAAATCAGAAAGAAAAGCGACACAATGGCTGAAAGTAAAGACTACGGTCTAAATGTGTATAGCTGTTGTGGTGTTGCTTTAAAGTGGATGAATTTAAAGTCACAATGAAACTTTTCATCCATATTGTAAAGTAGATCTGAATGCGAAATTGCAGTTAATTGTGAGAATTTGATGATTGTAAGCAGACTAAATGATTCGAGAAGCCTGGCATACATCACCAGAGACAAGTCTGTTGTTTTATCAGAAGATCGAGTTATGACAATGTGATTTAAATTACAAAAAAAAAGGAAAAGGAAAAATGTGTGTGTTTGTGTATGTATGTTTGTGTGTGTGTGTGTATATATATATATATGTAATTAAACAATATATAAGTAATTAGAGATGAGTTGAAGTTACAGGTTATTGTGCATGTAATTAGTTAATAACCAATAATTTCTTGTTAGTTGCATTTCATTCATAGTTCATGACATGTTATGACCGCTTTCATCCTATAACCTTTATAATTGTTTCATAATCTTTATTTAGAAACAGTATCAAGATATTAGAATGTAAGATAAATGCATCTCTAACTTAACATTATAAATTACTTTTAATATGAATAAAGGTGACAGGGACATTGTCATTTTAATTAGAATTTGTTATTTTAATATTATTTATATACTTATAGTTTATATTTAAGTATATATTATATAAGTGTAATATAAGTATATTATTTATATACGTATAGTTTTTCTTATTTTGAATTTACTTTTATTTTTATATTTTCAGTTTTCATTTTAGTTTTTGTAATTTAGGTTTTTTTTTTAGTTTTTGTTTTTTACAAATATATCTAAATAGTTTTCATTATTTTTATTTTAGTTTTATTTAAGTTAGTAATCTAATCAGTTATTTCAAATAACAAAACTGTTAAAAAAAAATGCTAATTTAAGAGGGTTTTCAAACCTTTGTAGTTACTAAGATGGACCTTATCACAACTTGCCCCTGTAACAACAAGCCCCATTTTCCCCTATATTAGTTTGACTTTAATTCTGAGTGTGTTATTTTATTGATCCATTCAGATGATAGAGACAGAGTGCTTTAAAGAACTTAACATCTTGAATTTGGATGCCACTGTGCCCCCTGACCTGGACTGGAGAGGTCAACCCTCGCCCCCACCCAAACAGGGCTTACTGCAGAGACTCTTCGGCCGGCAGGTGAGATTTCCTCACATTCTTCTATTATTTATATGCAATGTTTTTACTCCAAGGCATTATTGTTTGTTCCATTAGTAAATGAGGTTGTCAGCATCTGGTTAAACAGCTCAGCCAAAGTGTATCTGAACCTTTTTGTGTCCTGTTTGATACTGAAATCGTATATGGCTTTGCAGGCGATTCTTGTAATTAAATAAAATATCAGTGTGCAGGTTTTCTTCACCCTCTACTTGCTGTATAATTAGTCAGGTACATGAAATGATTTGTGTAATATACTCTGATTACTAATGTATAACTTTTTAGAGCCTTTTGCCTTGCTTCTCAGTTTTACTTGGACCTCTAGGCACTCTTTTTAATTGGAATGTAAATACAAATTTGTATTACGGACAAAAAAGAATGCCTGTCATTGTGAAATGGTAGAAACATCATGAAATGGTTTGACAAATGCAATTTTTTTCCTGTGTTGAAATATTTCCTATTGAAACAGGAAGTTTGGGCTGGACATTGAAGGCTTTGTGCTTTAAAAAAATAGAAGAATTAACTTTAAATTGCTACTGTTAATGCTAGAATATGTGTTTTCTAGGAAGAGAAAGTGCACTTTCAAAAGTGTTCTTTCAAAAATCTGCTAAAAGTTTGAGTCAACTTTTATTAGCACACTAGCATGACCTGAAGCTAAGAGACAACCTACATTTTGATTTGATGAGGTTTTTAATGCTGGTGCGTCTGTGTTTGACTGTGCATCTGTCTATACTGCCCCCGCAGGACTGCTGTGGAAATTGCAGCGACAGTGAGGAGGAGCCCACACGGCTGTGAAGGCGTGGCCTGGCTGTGGCTCCTCCCCTACACCACTGAGGATCTCATTTGTTTACAGTTTTTGCACATTTGTATTTTTAAGATAGCTCTATATAAACATTTGAATGTATATTTTCACTATATAGCCATGCAGTGTATCTTATTTAAAGTCATCAAAATGAAAAGGACAGACAAAAGGGTCCCAATTTTTGTCCTTTATCATGTGTGACGTATGGAAAGGACAGATCGTTCAACACTGCTCAAGTCTCAAACCCAGTTGATCCAACCGATCCTGTACATTTCGTCAGTATGTCTTGCAGCCTCTTTGCGCTTTTTTCTTTTTTTGTTCTTGTACGATTTCACACACATGTACAGTATGCACTCTGAATATTTGTTTTAGACGTGGGGAGCAAAGGAAATTTGCTTTTGCAGATATTTTTATATTTATATTTTCGACAATCAAATGACACCATTTGTATAAAACAGTGATAAATGCGCATTAATGGAATTTTTAAAAAGCAAAAACAGGAAGTGACTATAAAACAGAGGGAAATTTTAACATCATAAATTCTCTACCAGAAGTCTCCAATATGTTTTATGTAAGGTTACTTAGCTAGAGGTACCTAGTACACCAAATAGGCGTGACTAAAGTGCATATATGTACAATAACAACTGCAGACAGTTGTACCATGTTGTAAATATGCGACACTCATCTGTAAAGTCTTCAGTGCGTCTTCCTGCTAACTCTTCTCTGGATAATTGGGAAAAACATAATGATCAGTCCTGTGTGGCCCATAAGTTACATAATGAGTAGGCTTGGGTATTGTTTGAATTTTATCGATTCCGATTCTTAACAATTCCTAGTTCCGATTCCAATAAGGTTAAAAAAAGGCAAACATTTAGATGTCAAATATATTTATTCTGTGTTTTAACAAATTATTCTGATGCAGCTGAATAACATTAGCAAAAATCAGCAGCATACAGAACATTTAGGCCTTTACGTATGGTTTTAACAAAAATACCACAGCAAAAACAACTAGACCTAATATACATTTTACACATTAAATTGTTAAAGACAGTCAGTGAAGTAAACAGTCAGTAATAAAATAGGAACAAACAAATCAATTAGCAATAGCATAAATAAATACAACTGAACAAATTTCAGGTACAGAAATTGAAATCAAAAGTTTAAAAACACTGCATAGTTTTATTTTCATAAAATATTAATTAATCCTCATTAAAGTTGTAAAAGATATTCAATGAAGATCAGCGAATGATTTTCTTTTGTTCTTTGATTAACATTAATGACAGGCAGCACATGTTTATTAGGCTGCTGTCTCTTTAACACCGAACGCACGTGGATCTAAAATACTGTTACATAAGCGTTTTCTTTTGGTTACGTTCACTTGAGACAAAAAAACGGCAAAAAAAAACTTGCTCATTCGTTGCAAACTGTGAATGAGAAATCAGTTCCGGCCCGGAAGTACCTTTTCTGCAGTGGAAATACACGGAACTGTTCGAGAACGGACACAGGTCGGGAACCCGCACCGGGACCGTTCTCTGTGCTCACGCTTCAGTGAACTACGCTACTTGGCACACAAAGCAGTGCGCAAGTTATTTCCCCTCTTGCGCTTAAATGGTTTAAAATCACATTAAAATGCGAACGCTGAAATCATTAAGCGGAATCGTAATGCACGTGTCTTACCGAATACCCGGTTCTAGGAAATTTGGAACCGGTTCTCGATACCCAACCCTATGAGTCAAGCTATGAGGCATTATTTTCCATTTACGATCTATTTCACAACATGACTGGTAATAACCTGACGTAGTAATCTATCATTCCAGCTCTGAAGACCGAAAGACTTTAATTAAGGCCTGTTTCACACTGCACACGTAAGCAGAGTGTAAGCAGTGCATCTTTTTCCCGGCGCCCATGTTAAAGGGGTCATATGATGCTGCTAAAAAGAACATTATTTTGTGTATTTGGTGTAATGAAATGTGTTTATGCGGTTTAAGGTAAAAAAAACACATTATTTTAGTATTCACACTGGAAACTGAGGCGATGCGGCAATGCAAAGTCTATTTTAGTTGAAGCAACAATGCATCGTTTTTGGCCAAAATACACATGTTGATATGAAAAATGAACAAATTTACCATAAAATTATAAAAGTGATGATTGCTGTGTTTCACACAGTCATGACTTTCAGCACTGCGGGAAAAAAAAAATTATTGTTTGCCCAAACCTCAAAAGCATGTTTAAATGATTAAAAATATAGGTATAGCTTAATTTAGGGATTCATTTTATTATAAACTATACCTATATGGTATGTGTGGGAGAGGGAAATTGTAATAGCAGTATGCTGTCCTGTCCTTCATAAATTAAAGCATGTGACAAGCATGGCAGCTAGTGCTCAGAGGAGTCCACCTAAAACAGGCAAATCCCATTCTTGATTTTGTAGGATGCAAGCCACATTTCAGCTGCCAGTGTGAAAGCACAATGAGCATGTGTTGTTTCCACTCTGCATACGCACAGATTCTGCACTGTTATCGCTCTGCTAGTGCATCCAGTGTGAAATGGCCGTAATACTCAATTGATGCTCAGCACGTCATCATCGCTTAACAGTTCAACGTGCTAATAGACATTAAAAATGTTATTTAATGTTTTAAAAGTAGATATGCACAATGTTATGGGGCTGTGTATAATTTAATTGCTGCTTTTTTATATGTAGGTCAAACAAAAAAATCATTTGCCAAAAAGAAATGTTATGTTTTGTTTTGTGTTACGTATCTCCTACAATCACAATAAGCTCTTTACATTTTCAGTTACTTGGAATCATGATCTCTTGGGCACTTTGTTGTAAATTTGATCTTTTGATGCACTTAAGACCAAACCAGTTCAATTTTTGTCCTCCCGTCTTCATAGAAGGTGCCTTTTGAAGTATTAAGGTACTCGCGTTAGGGATTTTTATTCAAATGTCATATTTTTGAGTTAGCTTAGCATTTTGTGCACACACTTTGTCTTTTCTTCGCTGTTGTTTTACCTCAAATATTACTGTGCCCTGTGGATGTTCATTTTTTTTCCAAAACATGTGAATTCTTATGTTGGACATCGTAGAAACGACAAATGTTTTGGGACTTTGTATTGAAGCCTAGCTGAATGCGTAACATCGGTGACCTGCCAACTCAAGGGTCTGTGAAACATAACATGCTTTGCAGGAAGTCCACGGAAGTACCGTCATCTAATGGCAGTCTGCACATTTCTCATCCATCTGCAGTTTACATTAGTTCTCTTGGATAATCTCAAATACATTCCAGTCTCTACAGCACTGTACAGTTGTACATTTTATTGAGTTTTTCTTTTCTTTTTGTTTATTTAGCAATAATGGATTTTCTAAGTATAACTACTATATAAAATGTGTATAAAATGATAACATTTCAAATCTAGGGTGAGACGGAACTTAGTTTGACTCAATGTTTTCCTGAGCCAGGTTTTTAACACTGTGAAGTGAACATTTTTGTCACAGTTGTACTTTTTTTTTTTTTTTTGTGCAATGCACTGATATTTTCTGTTTGCGAATTTATGACTGTGTATGTATAGTATGTGTGCCTAAATGCTGTATGTCTGACTGTATGTGCGCTTTTACCTGCACTGCATGTGCCCATATTCTTTACCATAACTACTAGTAAATGCCTTTTTTTTTTTTTTTTTACCCTAAATGAGTGAAATGTTACGTTCTAGGGGAGCTTTCAGTGTTGTTTTTTTCTTTTCTAAGAGGAGAGGTTGAGAACTTCAGGCTCACTGATAATAATGTTATCTATTATTAGTAATGCCAGTCATTTCAATATCATGGATTTCATGTTTACCTCAAGGCAGTGGTGGAGCTAAACTCATAATTTCATACAAAACAAGACTTGTTCTGAGAATTAGACATGCCACTGCTTTAGAGGTCAAACTTCCAGCCACATTTGTCAGTGTTATTAATTCATTTCAGTTGTCGACAATAAAAACAGAGCCTGTGATATGAAAGTATGTCATATTAGTACTTCTCTTGTTTTTTAAAAGAGTATAAACAAGTGAGATTATTCCTACATCTTATAAGCTTCAAAGTGTACGGTACCATTTTAATTATCATTTTCCATCAGCAAGCAACATGCCATTGAGGGCTATAGAATCAAATTTGACATTTTTTTGGTAACTGTATAATGTGCTAATATGAGTAAGAATGGTGTATAACTGGAGGATGTGGCCATTCCCATTTCAAAAGGTGGTTTAATTTTTCAAACGTGACATGTTTTTCTGAGTTGTTTTGCTGACAATAACTCAATTGTAATTTTGTAAAAACCGATTTTAACATTTAAACAGTTTTTCTTTTCTTTTGCCTTATATGTATGTAGAAGTCCATAGCCCTTTCATTTAAGGCCAGAAGAATGTGTTTTGTTGCATTGAAAATTTGTCTTGTACCTGTTTATCCCTGTTCTTGAAGCCTTATTTGTATGTGATACAAAAAAAATGGTTCCTGGATTGCACATTGAATAATAATTTTTTGCTGAATTCAATAGTTAATTCTCACTCAGGTTACTGTCATCGTTATGTGTTTTTATTTGCTTAATATACGTAAACAGCCTTATTGATAAAATAATGTCAAATTACTGGTTTATATTTGTCCATTTTAAAGTTGCATTAAAGACATGCCACTTGGAATATTCTTTAAAGACTTGTAAAGATGATAAGGATGACAGTGAAGGAGTTTGGTGAGTTAATGTTGTGCTTGTCAAAGCACTGATGCTTATTTTCCCTCTGTTTAGTTTCTGGTGTCTGTCTCTGGCCTGTGAAGCCTGTACATTGCGCATGGCCTCTCATGCAGGTCTTCTGTGTAACAAACGCAATTTTGTTTGTTTTCCTTTTTTCTGCAGTAGTATTCAACTTCAATAAATTTTTATTTGGTTCGTTTTTGTGTAGCTCTTCAACTTACTTCATATTTGAATTCATTCAAAATCTATCTTCAATTTGCAATACCATAGCATTGCCCAAGTTACTGTACCATTAAGGCCACCTTTATGTCACATTAGTGAAATTTTTCAGACAAAAATGTCCATTGTCTATTTTCAATAGTGTACCAAAGCATGAAGGACCACTCACAGAGAAGTGACTTTAACGCCAGCTACTCTATGCATGAAGAACTTAAACCCACTGAAATATCGGTGCCAACGTGAAATTCCAAATCATGCTGATTCCATATGTGAAATTTGTGAGTAAACGTAAATGTGACCACAACTTAAAGTGGGTCAAGAGATAACGCGCAACACATGTAAAGACAGTTTATTGATCCTAACTTCTGGAAAGAAATAGCAGACACTGGACAAGCATGACATTTTTTATTGTTCATATGTCAGCTGTACGTATCCCTTTCAAGGAAAGTCTTTTCACTTGGCGGCCATATTTGCAATGTCTCTGGGTAGCAATTTCAGGCATTCAAGACCAAATCCTATCTGCTTGAATAGAGAAATTCAGAAATCTCAAAAACTGCTTGCCGCACTCGTATTTAAATTACATATATAAATTACTACTGGCAGCTGCAGTGATGTGATGATTTTACCAATTGGCGATTGGATCTTTTATTTAGAAGACAAAACTTATTCCGCATTGCACTTTCTCCCTTTGATAGTAATACGATTGCACCATCTTGGTATATCAGAAGTTTTTGGTATGCATACACTCAGCATTCAAAACTGAAGTTTACTTGGGGCTTTAGTTTCTGGTCTGACCTTTTAAGTTCCGTTTCTTAGCAGCATTCCAAGAGCACTGAGATTTTCACTGTTTGTATCACTCTGCTGCCTGTGTTTGTGTGTTCAAAAATCAGTCTGGGTGTTTTTCAGTGA